TAGGGTTTAGGGTTAAGGTTTAAGGTTTAGGGTTTAGGGTTCAGGGTCTAGGGTTTATGTGATATTATGGAGGTCAGTTGCTATGGCCCCCGTGTAAATCGGCTCTTGGATTGTTCTCTCGCCCTCCCTTTCTTGCGCATTAATCCAGAAGCCTGAACAACTAGTAGTATCAGTGCCTAGCATTCCGGATTATCTGGACACTTATGGTGGAGCTGCAAAAGGAAGTCTTGAAGTAAGAACCCCCCAAACTGAAAGCCAAGCCGAAAGACTTTTGTCTGTATGTAAGAGCTCGAAACCACACCGAAACCGCTCTCAAAGACTTCACCGATCGAGGTGCGAAGCAGCAGCTGGCGAGAATGAAGGCGGAGTATTACCCTCTCTCTGGAGCGCAGCTGAGGCTGAGATTTATGATGCCTTCAGCCTTCAAGGCGCATAAGGAGTGTTTCAGATTACGGCTTCAGGGTTCTGGGTCGGGGTTCGAGTGCAGTCATGAGAATCTACGTGTGCCAGAATCAGAGTGGGCTCAGGCGAAGTAGCCCTGAGCTTAGCTTCGGAAAGCCACTGGGTCACGGAAGGCACCACAACCTTTTGCTGTATTGCACTGGCTTTCCATCGAGGCTAGCACATCGATGCTAGGGGTCCGAAGACCTTTGCTTGGCTCTAGCAGAACCCTCAACTCCATTCTCATAAGAGCCCTTCATCACGCAAGCGGGATCTACACCACCACCACCACCACCACCACCACCACCACCAAACTAAAACCACCAAACTAAACTACTTATGTAGCCGAAGATCACCTAGGCGCTTTGAATTGCCACTTATATTTTGGGGTTCCTTATTCTACATGTATTGTATTTTTTTACCCCCAAACCGTATTTGAACTGTCAAGGCGCGTGTACTCGACGTGAAGGGCCGATGCAACATCAAGGGTCCAGTAGACTCCCAGCTCTCCGTCATTAGGGTTTAGGGTTTAGGGTTTAGGGTTTAGGGGTAACCGTATATCGGGCAGGGAGATCTCAGGAGCTGTTCGTGGACCTCGCGGTTTAGGGTTTAGGGGAAGCCGAAGTCCTAAACTCCTGAACCTCAAACCCCCAATTGCCAGTCATGACGCTGACCCTAAACCCTAAACCATAAACCGTTCTGGAATCCCAGGTTCTGGGATTCCGTGTCCGACACAGCGAAGGACCTGGAGAGGGAGTGGGAGGAGATGCCATGGGCGTGACCAGTCACTTTTTGCGATCTTGCCCATGCCCAAACGGCCCTAAGTACCTATATAGTAGAATGGAGACTTCCGATACCAGTATTGATGATGCTGCTAATGGCGGCAGTGATGACGAGGACGACAGCCCACACCCGCATCAACATCATAGTCATCCCGAGCCCGAGCTCATCATCAACGTTCTCGTCGTCATGTTCGCCACCCTCATCTCCATGACTCTTTTCATCACCATCATGCCACATGAATCTAGAAGTATCATGATGGTCAAATGCCTTCTTTTGGCAAAGCCTTCCGCTTGCATGTGGGCCATGCATCAGCATCAGGCACTGAAGCCCCAAATGTAACCCACGCAAGGGCCTTTCCTGATTCAGGTCACGCTACAACCCCAATGCCCCAAACCCGTAAGCCCCTAAAGGCCCTAAACCTCAGTGATTCAGCATCAGGATCTCATCCGACACTTGCTGAAAGTCGATGTGCAGGTTCGCGGGGGTTTGCTGATTAGGGTTTAGTGTTTAGGACATATACCGGGAGGCCTTTGCGATGCGTGTTCTGGCTGAGGCTGAATGTCCGCCGCAACTATCAAAGCAAGGCCTCCAAACCTCCTTCTTGCTTCGAGCGACCCTGGCTCAAGGTAACATAGCCGGAGTTGTTACCTATATTACTCTCATGTTTCCACAATACAACAGACCACAAAACCCCTCAATATTCATTGCCTGAATTGCGAACAATTCTTCGTTGGAGAGATTCTGGCTAAACCCTAAACCCTAAACCCTAAACCGAAGCTTTTATGCTTTTTAGTTTGGCCTTGGAAGCCTCAATAAGGCGAATAGGGTTTTGGGGTATACTACTTGTAAGGAGTCCCCAAATAGCCTTGGCAAGGGTTTAGGGTTTAGGGTTTAGGGTTTAGGGTTTAGGGTTTAGGGTTTAGGATTTAGGGTTTAGGGTTTAGGGTTTAGGGTTTAGGGCAATTAGTTCTCCCCAGCTGATGCTCAGAGACTGGGTTCAAAAAAAGGGCAATTTGTTCGGCCCTTTGGTTTTTCCCGAAGCTTGAAAGCTTTCAATAGCGCGGTAGGGGGTAGTTTTCTGTTGCGATGTCTGACTCATTAGCTGATACACGACACGCAGCCCTGAACCTTAAACCCCAAACCGTGCACCTCAAACAGGACGCTTTGAACAACTCAATGTTAGAGTTGGCCGGGCTCTGGCGTTTTGTCTTATTGTCTAGTTCTAATTCCGTAAACACTAAACGCATCTAAACCCAAAGCCCCAAAACACAAATGACACCTTAAGCCTAAGTGTCTGAATCCCAAACTGAATTTTCGAGAAACATCTACACCGATGCCTTAATCACCAACCTTAAGCCCAATGGACCCTAAGATGAGACGGTACCCGCTATGGGGATGAAACCGTCATCCATCCCTAGAGGTTCCTCCAAAGAAGTCTGTTGCCTCCAAAGAAGTCTGCTGCACTGCCAAAACTATCCCACCTTTTTGTAAGTAGCTCGGTTGTCTTTGTAACGGGTACTTGTGGAACAGAAAGGGGAATATTTTCGCTGGTACAGGTAGATTCCAACACCCCGCAGAAGCAACATAGCCCGTTGCAAGCAGGCACGCCTCAGCGCGGATCAGGCACAGCCGAGGGGTAGTAGGGGGTGGGCAACAATATGCCTGCACATCATGTTGGCCGTGATGTATTCTTTTGCACGAGGTCGTAGCCTGGATCGCATACTTCCTTTCCACGTCCGACGCAATGCGTGCGGATGAACATGTTGCAACGGCGGATGGTGACTGCGATTGATGATGGTCAGGATGATGAGGATGAGGGTGAGGATGAGGGTGAGGGTGAGGACGAGGATGAGGATGNNGATTATGCTGATGCTGATGATGCTGAGGGCTGTCTTGTTGATGTTGGTGGTGACGAAGCTTAGAAGCATCCGAGGTGTCATATTCATGATTCAGATGATGGTTACGACGGTTCTGATTACATTTTGCGCTGATGGAGTGGTAATCGACACAAGCTGGTCCTTCTCTCGTCGCCATCATGGCAAGTGTGCAAGACCCTAAACCCTAACTCAATGGCATCCTAACCACCTCTGTGCCGAATCCTTACCCTGGGTGAGGCTTTCTGCAGATGGCCTCTTCTTGAGAATCCGTTCGACAAATATAGCTTCGATTATTTGGGATCTAAGTGGGGGGGGGGGGGGGGGTGTTGTATGGCCCGAAACAGGTACTGCACCATCCGTGGCTCGAGCAGCACAAAGTGGAGCCGGACTTTCGACTTCTGACGCAGGCCTCGTCTACGAAACATTGCGGAATATTCTACTAGCATGACCATGCAAAATCCTTAGCACCGCAATCTCCGAACATCTCGAAGGTTTGAGCACTTCATTCTCTCAGCCCTGTCAAGAGAGAGCCCCAGTCGTAAGCGCAGATGTTCCTACAGCTGGTGCTGGCAGGTCAGCCGCTCTGTTCGCTAGTCTAGCGTCTTCTGCGGTGAGGTTCTGAACCTTGGAGTCCAGACGGCCTTCAAGATTCGAAATGCGTGAACAGCAGTGGCTGTGTTCAACTCACATGTGGCAGTGGTCCATGATCTTCTGTGAATGAGGCAGTAGCAGTAGCGGAGGAAGTAGAGCAGATGTAGCAGTAGCAGTAGCAG